CCTCAACCCCTATAATGGAAACTCAGGAAAGCTAAAAGGAAACTATGGTTGCGTAGGGTATATCGGGTAGTACAGAAGCTTTTGTTGCCCCAAGCCCCCAAAACAGAGTCAAGTTGAAGGCTTAGGGTCTAGGATTAAGAGGGGAAACTTCTGAAGGTCTTGAAAAGGACTATGCAAGGCGCTATACAAGGACTACATAGGGACATGCAATGCGCATTGCTAGAAACAAGAGAGTTTGGCAACGCCCCAAGAACTAGTGCCCTTTGCCAGCAAGTAGTGTCCTAAAAAACAGACCCTGGACCCTAAACCCTAAACATACCTCACGAGTATGGCGTCCAGGGCCTCAGGTAGAGGCTTAGGGTTTAGGGTTTAGGGCTTTTAGTGTTTAGGGTAAAGTGTTCTGGGTTTGAGTTAGGATTGAAGGCGCACCCCTTGGGGAAGACTATAGGATTTCTCGGATGTACCTGCACCTTCAAAGAAAGCAACGTCTTGGCCCAAAACACCTAAGAATGGCAAAACATGGCTATCTTTCTACATACGTTCAGGTTTCAGGTACCTGGACCCCACAAGTATGTAGAAAAGTTGCCTGCTTGACCATATTTAGGTGTTTTGCGCCATCATCTTGCCTGGTTTTGGGTTGCAGGTAGCGGTGAGAGGATACAAGCTATAGTCTAAACTCCTAGCATCCCAGCATTCCCCTTTCATAACTCCTATAGTAGTCTATATAACCTTCTATACAACCCCCTTCAAGACGTTTAGACTATAGCCCAGATAACTCCATGGTAGTCCATATAATCTCCCATACAAACCCCCTTCAAGAAGTTGAGACTGTAGCCCATATAAACCCTAAACCCTAAACCATTCAAGGAGTTTAGCCTAGAGCTCATATCATCAGTTACCCCTGCCTTGTCTGCCGCCTTTTTCTCGTCCTCCACCTGCTTGGCGACTTCCTCCTCCTGGTCCTCCGAGGGGCTTGTCGCTGAGGAGGCCTCTTCGTAAGGGCTTGGGTTAGCGATGTTTAGGGTTTAAGGTTTAGGGTTTAAGTTTCAGGGTTAGGGTTTCGGATTTAAGGTTTAGAGTCTAGGGTTTTAAGGTTTAGGCCTTAGGGTTCTTAGGAACGTGCTTGCATGCTTGTTAACTAAGTTTGGAGGCGCAAGTGCTTAGGGTGTTACAGTCTAGCATTGGATACAGGAAGTATTCCTGACCTTTGGGGTTTAGGGTTTAGCAGAGCCTTTGAGAATTCAGCTGCATCCGGAACTTCTGGGTTAGCTGGCTCGCGGCTTGCCATGGCGCACGAAAAAGGCTACAGTTTGGTAGGTTGATTAATGACCGACATTATGCTTCCTTAGTCCATAGATATAATTCCCAAAGCCCTATCGTCTAGACCCCTGAAGATCCTTATACGACTATAGTATACTCAGAAAAACCCTATTCTAATTGAATAGGCCCTCGACGTTACAATGTCAGGGTTCAAGAAGACGTGGTATTTTTTTGGCGCAGGGGGTCAGAACGAGCGAGCGAGCGAGAGCGAGAGAGATAGAGAGAGAGAGAGAGAGAGATACGTATGTAATATGTTCTAGTATTGGTGAAAGTAAGAATCCCTTTTTGGGGTCCCATAATTATACAGTCTCAAATATGTGGGATACCGCCAGCCATTCGAAACATACGAACATAATATTCGGAATCCTCTCACCTACTAAATACATCCCCTGACAATGTCTCTACATACGTATATATGTATGTACACGCTAGAAAAAACATGGCACAACCTGGGGAACGTTTGCTATTGGGGGGGTTGGGGGTGTTTGCCCATCCAGGGACGGCATTATCCGAGTCCCAGCCAGGCAGCTACGTATGATGTTGCTGCTGCCTGGCTTGAGAAGTGCGTACCTCGTCGTAGCTTTGACATCTATGACCCCGCACCCCTAAAAAAAGGCAGCGTAATGATAATCAACACCCAATATATTGCAAAAACTCTTTGGGGGGATATGTGTTTGCCAGGATTACTTTGGAATACGTAAGCAGAAATCGCCAGGTCTGGAAATACTCAGGTCTTCACCAATCCCTAATCCCTAAACCCCACTTCCTGAAATTCCTGAATCCTAAGCCTAGTCCATGAACTCTAAACCCCATGTTGGAAATGGCCAAACCTTCACCAGTCTAGACATTTTGGCATAAGAAGAAGCACTGCCAGTTCCCGAACATGCCTGAGTAAGATCATCCTCAATATCTATGTTCCCCAGCAACCCCTTAATCTTAAGAGGTTAAGGCTTTAGGGTTTCCCAATAAGGTTAAGGTTCAGGGTTTAGGGTTTAAGTATCCCCAAATCATATTAATAAGGAGACCCCAAGATTTAAAGGAACAAAGGGTACTACTGGGATACCACGATATTCGACGCGGAAGGCAGCCAGCTTTAAACGGTTCGCATCCAATGTAGAAGCCTGAATTACCAACATCATCCCCCCTTACCCTTCTATATCTACAGTATAACTTCCGCCAAAACCCTATTCTCCTTGCACAACTGCGGCTTAGTTCCCCTTAGCCCTATTCCTATCGTGTAGGCCCCTACATGAGCTATAGCCATAGTCTGAACTCCCCGTATCCCCCTGATTAACCCCCTAGAATAGTCCCCTGTATTATCCCCTATAAGGAGTTCAGACTACACATGGCCACTTCCCCCCGTTGAGGTCCAGGTCGTCGAAGTCCATGCTTCGTGCGTGCCAGCAAAACGGAGTCTATGTCGCTGCAGGCCAGACGTGACAGGTAGCACAATATGAGGGTTTCCCAAACGTCGGAGTACTTTTTTGGGGGTACCCATAATCAGGATTATAATACGTTCGGGTCTCTATATTGACAGCTTCAGGTAGCTCAGTATATCTTTCAATTGAGGAAGATGCCTAATAGTTACATTGGTAATCTTAAGTACCATTCACCCAAAACCCTACTGGGGGTGTGTAGCACCAGCTGCTATCTAAGCGTGTTTTTTGGGGCTGTGGGGCCCAACAGACGCCAGTGGTAACTTGCTGGGAGGTCTTGGCGGGGCCCGTCTCTACCTCGGGCGCATATGCATGGAGTTTGCAAGAAGACTTCTTGTGCATGCTGCAGCGTTTATGGAGCCAAAATCTGAGGCGAGAAGAAGTTTGGAATCGAAAGTCGAAAAAGAAATAATCCCGGGCGAAATCCATAGGAATTGAGCTGTAAAGGAATCTAATGTTTTTGTTTGGCTCTCTTGTCTTCTTCTCATGAACAGAAGTCCACCGAGAAGCCTGACCCAAAAACTTGTTCACAGTGGGGCAATGCTTTGTTCTCAGAAGAGAAGGAATAGCTCGATCCTGACAATGTCCCCTGACAAGCTAAACCCCTGTCCAGATGTAAACTCATGGGGCTTCATGAGCAACAGTTTAGGGCTTAGAGTTCAGGGTTTAGGGTGCCCAAAATGTGTAATCCCCATGTGCTGCGGCGGAAAGATGTAGTAATGTGTGGGGATACGCGGTTGCAATAGGAAGAATGGTAATTAATCCTGTAAAAAAGCAAGGCTTGTACCTATCAAGAGCGTGCAAAGCCACATGAGCTATGGTCTAACCTAACTCCCTTTAGAGGACGTTATAAAAGGGTGTATATAGGTGACTACCATACGGCTTATAAAGCGGGATACTAGGAGTTTAGACTGTGGCTCACATGAGCACCTGCTCAGCATGGAGTCCACCAATGTGTTGAACTTGCCTATACGAAGCCCCTCTGAAGCAGGAACTATGCCGCCCTGGAAAATGTAAACTCTGAGGTCCTGTTGATGGAGAACGCCTTGCACCAGCCTATGCTATCTAAATCCTAAGAAGCACAATACTTTCTAACTTCAAGTGGTACAAGCTTTTCCGTCCTTTGATCAAAAACGCTAAGGAACCCCACATCTAAACCCTGAACCCTAAACCAGTGACCATCAGTCTCCCATGTGTACTCCTCAACACAAAAATACATTCTTTCAGGCCTCCCAAGAAGAAACTCTCATATTTTTGCAAAGCCTCATTTTAAACCCAAAGCCCTGAACCCTAAACCCTTTATAATCATGGCTACCTATCAGGAGGAACCTCAAGAATGAAGTCAATTGATGCTATGGCTTCGGGTTTGAAAAGGGGTTCTATAGGGGTATATAAGGGTTTTAACCAGGGATGATGGAAACAAAAATGGAAACTACTATTTCGGGTCCCTAAACCCTAAACCCTAACACCTTAAACCCTAAATCCTAAACCCTACACCTTAAACCCTAAATCCTAAACCCTAAACCCTAAATCCTAAACCCTAAACCCCCCTTAGGACTGGGGCTCAGGGCTTGGGTGTTCTGACTCAGGGTGGGGATGAAGATTTGTTTAGGGTTTGGGGTTTAGGGTTTAGGGTTTAGGGCTGGGGTAGAACTGACTTAGTGTCCGCCAGCGTTGATGGTTTTAGGGGTTTTAGGGGTTTTGGGTTTATATAGGGTTCTAGGGTTTAGGGGTTTAGGGCTTTAGGATTTAGGGTTTTAGGGTTTACAGGGTTTATATAGGGTTCTAGGGCTTAGGGGTTTAGGGTTTTAGGGTTTTAGGGTTTTAAAGTTCAGGATTTAGGGTTCTAGGGTTTAGGGACTGATACTTGGAGGTTCATAGGACAAAGACTTATGGCCGCCGTTACAACGCTACCTTGTAATCCCACTAGCTGGCCTTATGTAGATAGGCCTCCCCAACTCTAAGTAGAGTACTAGTAACCGCAAAAAAATCAAATTGCTAAGTCCCATGTACGCTCAAGTAACCATAGACCAGGATTACTAGGCCCGATCCCTATGCTTGAAAACCACCAGCGCCAACACTCCAAGGCCCCAAGCGCATCCCAGACGCCCCAAAATCTTAAACCCACAAAGCCCCCCAAACCCAAAATCCCACACCCCTAACTTCTGCACACCGTGAAGTCCTCAGCCCCCAAATCCTAAAACCCTCCAAACCCGCAGGCGCATAAATCCAGGGCAGCGATACCACAGAGAACGGCGACCGATGATCAGTATGACCCAAACTGTTGGATATGCGGCCATCCATATCAGCCTTTGTGATGGGTTGAGGGTTTAGCGTTTAGGGATTAGGGTTTAGGATTAGGGTTTAGGGATTAGGGTTTAGGGATGAGGGCTTGGGGTTTAGATGGGTTTAGAGATTAGGGTTGAGGGTTCAGGGTTTCATATTAGCCTTGTGACGGCCCGAATGCGTGAAGGGATTGGGCCGTCTTCTTGGCTTTGGGGATGAAGGATTGCGGTTTAGGGCTCCTAGTTACAGGTTCCTGCAACTTAGCAACACGCAGAAGTGGGGTTCAAACCCTACTCCCTACCCGTTAAGCCCTAAACGCCAAACCCGAAACCGCCTGAAGCCCTCCCACCCCCGTTCCACCCTAAGACCCCCACGAGCCACTTGATTAAGGGTTTAGGGTAGTTGATGGAAATCATTGTTCCCCAAAAGTCCATTCTGAAATGCAATTTCCTCCATATTCTTCCTCATAGAACTACAGGACCCCTTAATCTGTTTTTTGCAAAGAACCTACAGCCCAACCCCAAACCCCAATTTTCCACTCGAAGAACGTTTAGATTAACTAAACCGAAAACCGAATTGTTGCCCAAAGAACCTTAAGATCAAGTAATTCCTAAACTCCAAACCAGAATTTATCCCTCCAAAGAACCTTTAGAATATCTAAACCCTACACACTAATTTCTCCCCAAAAAACCTTTCGATCAACTAAACCCTGAGCCCTAAACCCTACGTAATTTTCCCCCACCCCGCAAAGAACCTTCAGATCAACTAAACCCTAAACCCTATTTTTCCCCCCAGAACCTTTAGATCAACTAAACCCTAAATCCTATAAACTTTTTATCAACCCAAGTATCAGCAGTCAAATTGTCTCAAACACATGCTTCCTTTCTGGGAACTTCTATCGCGAATACGTGTCCCAATGCTTATATATATATATATAGATATATATGGGTTTAGGTTTACAGCTTAAGGTAGAAAAAAACTACGAGATCGAGATAACTTGTCATATAGTGGTATCTGTGGCTTGCATAAGCTGCTCTAAATGGCGGGACTTCCGGCAACTACTACCTGGATAATCTGCTAACCGTACTCGACTGCAAGCCTGTGACATATCATCGAAACGACTCTGATATGAGCCATTGTCTAAACTCCCAGTATCCCCCTTAATAACCCCTATAATAGTCCACTATATGATCCCCTATAGAACCCCCTTTTAAGGAGTTTAGATTACGGCTCATATGCTCTGATACCCCAACCCCAAACCCTATTTTCCCTGGAGCCCTCCCAGCGAAGGATTTTGACTGCAGGTGGGGATTACAATAAGCAACAATCAAGATTACCTTCAGGACATCTGTAGCAACTACCTACACCTTGGAAGCTACTTTGGGGGCTTAGGTGGCCGCGAAGGAAAAAGGTGCGACCCCTGTAGCATCAGATCGCAGAGATGTACTCCAGCAAAGTCGACTGTGAAAATACTCGTGCAGTTTTTGTGGGCTGTACTGCCGTCCCCTTTGACCTATTCAAATACTATTCTTAAAAAGATCCTTAGGGTTATACCATAGAAAATGCAACTTAATTCCTCAGGAAGCTACTGACTACAGTATAAGTAGCCGCCAGGCAACAGGTTTGCCCCTGAACCCTGCCTGCCTGGTAGAACACGGTTCAGGGTTTAGGGTTTCGGGTTCGCGCAACATGACGAGCCTCTGCAAAAGCTCCCTATTTTCCAAGACTCCAAATCCGCCGTTTAGGGAGCCTTCTGGAATTTCCTTCCTTTTGGCCTATGCCCCTTATCACCGCTATACAACCCTAAATCCCCTCTAAAGCCTGTACACCCTATACAACCCCTGCATAGCCCTACATCGCCTATACCGGGACCCATAAATCTGGGAAAGTCCCAGATCTGTCTTCGAGGCCCTTGCACAAAGAAAAGCCAATGGAAGTCTGCACCATTCATGGCCTGCGAGAAGTTTGAGTGTTTAGGAGGGTTAACGGCCGTGGGCTTTGGGTTTAAGACTTTGGGATTCAGGGTTCATTGTTTTAGGGTTAGGCTTTGGGCTTTGGGGTTTGGGATTCTTGGCTTTGGGGGGATTTAGGGTTGACTCTTGATGTTTCAAGCCTATGGACCCTTCCTACAGTCATCATTTAGCGAGGCCGAGTGCCACGCCCTCATGCCGGAAAGCCAACATCCTAAAATCCTTTGTCCTTGACGTCTGCTTTTCCATGCCCTGCTTACTTCCCAAGCCCTGAAACGTAAGCAAGCTCTGATGATGATGCAGGGCGTTGGGTCCCTCGTTGGAGCTGTCCGCAGTTCCGAGCACCAGAAGTCCCAAAACTTGAAAACTAAACCCTAATCCATGAACCCTGAACCCCAATCATTAAACCCAAAACCCGCAATCCCTGAACCCTAAACCCTAAATCCTCAACCCTAAATCCTAAACCCTGAATCCGAATCCCTGAACCCTAAATGCTAAACTTCAATCCTAAACTCTAAGTCTTGAACGCTAGACCCTAAGTCCTAAATCCTAAATCCCCTTACTGTCCCGTAGACTTGATACGCCAGGCTTAAGCTTCGTTGTCGAGGGTTTCGGGTTTTGGGTTAAGAGTTTAGGGTGTTAGGAAGGTTTATGGTTCAAAGATTTAGAGTTTAGGGTTTACAACTTGAAGCCTAGGGTTTGGGGTTTAGGGTTTGGGGTTTAGGCTTTGTATTCTTGGATTTAGGCTTTAAGGTTTGGGTTTCCAGCTCTAGGATTTGGGTATCCTTTCGGAGGACGAATGTAGGTATGTTTTTGGTGGACCCTCACCCAGGAAAAAGAGTTCGAGGCGAGGAGGAGAGCTCGCCCAGCAATAGGATGCGATAGGGGATAGGGTTTAGGGTTTAGGTGATTCGCTCAGGGTCATCTAAAAGTCCTATGCTACCACTATTACGGCGAGGGCGGCTTCCCCTAAGGCATATTACGAAATGTTATGGCTATCTATGCATGTAACCTGAAGAGGATACAGGTTCTAACCCGGCTGAAACTTAAGGCTTTCTTGATAGGGACGACCCTAGTGGTTGGAGAATTTCATGTTCTTGGGGCTTAGGGCGCATAGTCATAGTACTAATGATGGTGATACTGATGATAATTCTCATGGCAATGATGGAGGTGGAAACAGCGGCAATAATGCTACCAATAACTATACTGAGAGCTTGCAATTTGGTGGACGAGGGCCAGGATTCAGAGTAGCGTCGAGGGTTCATACTAGACTAGATGTGGCACACCAGCTTTTGTTAAACTCATTGTTTTCCTCAACCACATTCTGCGGAATGTGATGTTGTCTATGTTTACATACTCATGCATACAACTAACACCTGCAGCTGCGCGCCAAACTACAAGTGCCTGCAGACCTCCCCCAAACCCTGCCTAAAATGCTTTAAGATCCAAAGCCGCTTAAACCCAGCCCACATCATTTTCGAGCCGATATCCCAACAGATAGGCCATGCACAGCTTATCTTACAGTGCAACTGCTGATGTGCTCAATCCTGCATACACCTCATACACCTACCCTAAACCCTGGCCCTAGACCCTAAGCCCTACTACCCTCCTCACAAAGGAAGCTGAAAAGGTTTCCCCAGGACTGGCCGGTTTTGTAGCGGAGGGGGATGCCTTAGGAGGACCCCTCTCCCCTGTAATAGTGGTATAGTAGGAATCTAATAGGACCCTAATATAATCCTTATTATCCCCTATACTCACTATTACAGAGTGAGGGATCCACCTAAGACATACCAACCATGCTTCTCAAAGCTCAGTGTGGGGGCTCATTGCTATCCTGCAGGATGTTCCCTACACCCTGAACCCGGAGCGGTTTAAGAATTAAGGCGTTACCTGGACCCCAGCAGCATGTAGACTAACGGCCTAACCCCCCCCACCAAAAAATTGCCAAAAAGGCAATTCTTCTGCATACTTGTTGGGTCTAGGTAAGGTTTAAGGCTTAGGGCCAAGTCTGAGGGCTTGAGGCTTAACCTTATCTGCAGCCCTCAACCCAAGAGCCAAACATCAACAATCTTACCTATCTTACCTTTGGTGGTGGCTGGGCATGAAGGAATGGAAAAGAAAATGGTAACTACTATACTGGGTGTAGGGCTTACGGTCTAGGATTTAGAAGGGTAAGGAAAAGAAACTACTATCATGAGTTTAGGATGCAGGGTTTAGAAGGAATGGAAAAGAACATGGAAACTACAATATACTGGGTTATAAAGGGTATAAGGATGCATTCCTTCATTCCTAGCTAACCAAAGGCCAGCAAAAGGTTCGGTGCCTTCGTGAGCCACGGTACTAAGGGCTGGATCATCATCTGGATGGCGGCCTGGTCAAGGAATTATGGGTTTTGTGGTTGTTGGGATTTAGATTTCAGGTCTGGGGCTGTAGAACCCGAAGCCCTAAACCCTAGGATAGGGTATGTTTTCAGAAGTTGGGTTTGGGGTACAGGTTTCTGGCACCCTTTCCCGGGGCATTCCATTCAGTGTGAGAAGGGGGGTAAGTAGGGAATAAAGGACTATATTCTATAGGGGTTATATATAGGGATTCTAACCAGTAAGAAAGGAGGTCTCTGCACCATCTCAAACCGGATAGGTGAGCTGTGACCCACGGTTTGCGGTGTAGGATTTAAGGTTCAGGGTGTAGGATTTAGGGTTTAAGGTGAAGGTTTTAGGTGTAGGGTGTAGGATTGAGGCTTTAGGGTTTTAGGGATTCAGGGTGTAGGATTTAAGGTTCTACGGCTTACCTAAACCCCAAAAGCATGTAAAATAATAGCCCTAAACCCATAGTAACAGCCAAAAAGGCAATCATTTTACCTACTTTGGGGGTCCAGGTAGGGTTAAGGGGCTTGAGGGTTCCCGAATTAGACCTGGGCTTTGGCGCACCTTACCATGCAAAGCCTTTCGTCTCAGGTGGAAAAAAGGCGGCCATGCGACCCTACACCCCAAACCCTAAAAGCATATACTCCAAACCCAAAAGCCCTAAAAGCGTAAACCCCAAACCCTAAAACCCTCAAATCCCAAAGCCTACACCCCAAAGCCCAAAACCCTAAGACCCCAAACCCACAGGGGTGTGAAGATTGGGCCTTTCAGTTCGGAGCAATGGGAATGAAATTCTTGTGGCCTGAATCCTACAACCCTCCACCCTTAAGGGTTTAGGGTTTAGGGTATAGGGTTTAGGGTATAGGGTTTAAGGTTTAGGGTTTAGACTTCTTGCCCTGCTTGGGGTTCAGGGTAAGTAAAAGGCACTTGTAACTACCTGAACGCAACAAATCTGCAGAATAATGGCCTTCTGGGCTTTTGTTAAGGTTTTGGGCTATTATTTTACCTACTTTTGGGGCCCAGGTACTTATAACCGTACGTATAAGATTGTAATGCGCCACCTCAGTACCCGAATTGGATTATAGATGGGATCTACCCACGGTAAAGAATTGGGTCAAGTGCCCTGAAACTTCGAGTGCCGAGCACCAGCCAGAGCCATAATGTCCTCCATCCGACTGGCAAACGGTTCCCCTGAACCCCCAAATGCGTGTTGCTGTAAGCCCTATAACTCCCGAGGCCAAAACACCTGCAGGGTGAGGGGTTCTCAACATAGGGGGCGCTTCCAGGAAAATTGGGGTGACATTGACAGATGGCTATAAGGGTTTCTTCAAATGAAGTACAAACAGGGTCCTACCTAGCGGCTACTGATAAGTGGGAGACCCTAAACCCTAAATCCTAAATCCCAAAACCCTAAACCCTAATTAAGCGCTAAACCCTAAACCCTAAATCCCAAACCCTATATTCTAAATCCCAAAACCCTAAAGCCTAAGTAAGCCCTAAACACTAAACCCTAATTAAGCCCTAAACCCTAAACCCTAATTCCTAAAACCCCAAACCCTAAGTCCTACAGCCTATTGTAGACCTCTTTGCGGGGTGCGAAGGTTAATCCTGAACGTCTGACTCTTGCTTCGTGTGGAGCTTGAAGATCCCACCAGCACCGGATAAGGGTTTCGGGTTTAGGGCTTAGGGGTTCAGGGTTTAGGGCTTAGGGTTCAGGGCTTAGGGGTTAAGGTTTAGGGATTAGGCATTAGGGCTGGCCGTTATGCAGACGCGGAAGCAGCCTCCCTTGGCACACTCAGGCCACGAGCCGGGCCGAGCGGTGGTCCGAATCCAAGTAGCACGGCTACGAAGGGATTCATGGCATGAGTGCTGGTTGCTGAACCGACACGGTTCCATCCCCCTGCAGAGGCAACCTCCAAGGCCTCTGCCGCCGTGGCCTGCCCGCCCTCACGGAGGGATCTGTCTGCTTTCTGGAAAGGTTCCAGGACTCTGGCCATGACGTCCTCAGATGCGACTGAGCTGGCAAGCACCACTGCGTCCATGGCTGCAACGTGCAAGGAAAGGCTGGGATGCTTACACAAAACGCTTAAGAACACGGCTTGAAGAGGCAACCACCTGAATCAAGCCTACGGGACAGGTAGTGGTGGGGTGCAGGGCCAACCTACGAGGGGCACAGAGAAAGCTACAAGCAAGCCAACTACGAGAGGTACTGACAGCTACAAGCTCAAAAACCTTCATGCAGACTGCAGTCATATCTTTATACAGCCACGTTCTAAACTCTAACCCTACATCCTACCGCCTAGGTCCTGGAAGCTTAAGCCCTATGTGGCCCCCCCCTGAGGCAGAATATGGCTTTGGGTATATTATGATAAGATCCCCATATACCCCATATACCCCATATTCTATCTACTTAAAGGAGACTATAGTCGTGCAAAACCCTACAACCCAATTAAGGGCCCATTGGTATCGGATCCTGGAAACAGGTAAGGACCCTTGCACAAGATTTATGTCCTACACTCAACACCACGGATCCGACATTCTATTGTCTTAGCTTTATCAGCTAAACCCTGAGTGGTCACCCTCAACCCTAAACCCCCAAACCCCTCCTTCTACTCCCTGTGACCTAAACTTGAAACCATGATCCCCAGCCGTACCCTAACCATAGGCTTCCCAAAAACCCATACATCCTAAGTACAGCTTACTTCCTAAGCCCCTTTTAAACCCAAACCCATGAACCAAAACCTTAGCCCCTAATGTTGGACCCTCTTATGCATGGGGACCCGGATTAATGTCAAGTTTCGGGGCTAATTCAGGATCCGTGGGTATGTTTAGGGACCCGCTTTAATG